AGCATGACAAGCACGGATTCAGTTGATGATTTCGCCGGAAAGATTTCAGGGTTAGCTTCAAAGGCAGCCTCGCTTGGAGATGTCATAGAGGAGCCGAAACTTGTGAAGAAGTTCCTAAAGGGACTCCCGCGTAGCAAGTATATTCAAATCGTTGCTTCACTTGAGCAAGTCCTGGACCTAAACAAGACAGGATTCGAAGATATAGTCGGAAGACTAAAAGCTTATGAAGAACGAGTTGGGGAAGAATCGCAGGGAGAGGAACAGAACAAGTTGATGTGGTCTAGCAATGACCACAACAACCGCCAAGAACAGAGTACCCGCGGAGGACACGGAGGTTCCCGAGGGAGATCGAGAGGTGGTGGCAGAGGCAGAGGTCGAGGTCGCACAAACCGGAGATCAGGAGGAGAAAACAAAGACAATGCTCAAAATCGGAAAAGGGATATGAGCAAAGTACTCTGTTATAGATGCGACAAGCCTGGGCACTATGTATCAAATTGTCCAGATTTGCCGAAGAATCAAGAAGCAAATCTGAATGAGACTCAAGAACCCGAAGCCCTGTACATCCACGAGCTAGTGTTCTTAAACGAGGACAAAGTATTTCCAGAAAAATATGATATCATCGAAGACAAAGAGAGCATATGGTACTTAGACAATGGCGCCAGTAATCACATGACGGGAAATAGAGTGTATTTCTCAACCTTGGATGAGAAGATCAAAGGAAAAGTCAAGTTTGGTGATGGGTCCAATGTCGAAATTATGGGGAAGGGCACCATTGTTTTCATAGGAAAGAATGGAGAGAGAAGAGCTCTGAAAGACATCTATTACATTCCTGATTTGAAACATAATATCATCAGTCTTGGACAAACAACCGAGAATGGTTGCGAAGTTAATATGAAAGGCGACAAACTGAAGCTCATAGACCCACACAGAAGATTACTTGTACAAGTACAGAGATCAGCGAACCGCCTCTACAAGACACGAATGGATATAGCCTACTCCAAGTGCTTTCAAATTCAAACCGATGATATCACAAAAACTTGGCACACAAGACTTGGGCATATAAGTTTTGGCGTCGTGGCGAATATGGTGAGGAAGGCGATGGTAGTAGGAATGCCAGAAAAGCTACTTGAGACAGGAGTATGCGTGGCATGTCTCTCGGGTAAACAAATAAGGACCCTGTTCCCGATCAAAACTACCTTCCGTGCAACACAAGCACTCGAGCTGATCCACGGTGACTTGTGTGGACCTATTTCCCCACCAACACCAGCCAATAACCGATATGTCTTTGTACTTATTGATGATTATTCACGGTTCATGTGGGCTCTGTTATTGAAGGAAAAGAGTGAGGCTTTCAATCGATTCAAAGGATTTAAAGAAATTGTGGAAAAGCAAACAGGTTTCACGATCAAGACCCTTCGAACCGATAGAGGAGGAGAGTTTACCTCACTCGAATTCAACAGATTCTGTGAAGAGAATGAAATAACACGACATCTAACAGCACCATACACACCGCAGCAGAACGGCGTAGTAGAGAGGAGAAACCGGACATTGATGGAGATGACAAGAAGTGTTCTTAAAGCAATGAGAATACCGAACTTCTTGTGGGGAGAAGCCGTAAGACATTCGACATATATCATAAACCGAGTTCCCTCCAAGGCGCTGAAAGACAAGACCCCTTACGAGTGCTTCATGAATAAGAAACCAAGTGTCGCACACCTGCGAGTGTTTGGATGCGTCGCACATACGAAAGTTACTGAACCTTATCTGAAGAAGCTAGATGAAAGATCAAAGAGAGTAATCAACCTTGGAACTGAGAAGGGCTCCAAAGCTTACAGACTTTACGATCCCATAGCAAAGAAGATAACGGTGAGCAGAGATGTAATTTTCGAAGAAAATAGAGCATGGGATTGGTCATCATTAACAGGAGAAACAGATGGTGAACCTGGAATGTTCACACTACCGCGTTACGGTCCGATGGAAGCTGATGAAGATGATGTACAAAACGATGAAAATCAAGTACATGAGCAACCTCACGAAGACCATAACGAAGAACAGGGGGAGAATGCTGTTAATGTAGAGAACCAAGAAGAAGAAGATGAACCTGAACCAATATTTACGAGATATGGTCGGAAAGTCAATCTTCCGTCATATCTAAGTGACTATGTCATGATTTGTGATATTGAGAGCGAAAGATTGTTGCTCACAATAGATGGAGAACCTGAAAACTACTATGAAGCTGCAAGTATGCAGGAATGGATCGATGCTATGATAGATGAGTTGGATTCTATCGTACGCAATGGAACCTGGGAACTCGTAGACAAACCAGAGGGAGTTAAACCCATTGGATTAAAGTGGATCTACAAAGTAAAGAGAAACGCAGATGGCTCGGTGAATAAATACAAAGCTAGACTAGTCGCGAAGGGCTATGTTCAACAACAAGGTGTTGATTTCGAAGAAGTATTCGCACCTGTGGCATGAATCAAAACAATACGACTGCTTATAGCCATTGCTGCAACACATGGTTGGGAAATTCACCACCTAGACGTCAAGACTGCTTTCTTGAATGGGGATCTACATGAGCTTGTCTACGTTAGTCAACCGGAAGGGTTCGAAAAGAAGGGACAAGAAAAACGAGTGTACAAGCTACATAAGGCATTATACGGCATGCGACAAGCTCCACGAGCTTGGAATATAAAACTGGATCATGCTCTAAAGGAGATGGGATTTAAGAGATGCCAGAAAGAGACATCAGTATATCTCAAACGATCAGAGAAGGAGCAGTTGATTGTGGCGATGTATGTGGATGATTTATTTGTAACAGGAACCTCACGGAGAATGATTGATCAGTTTAAAACTGACATGTCAAGACGATTTGACATGTCGGACTTGGGAAAACTAAGATCTTACCTTGGAATAGAGGTACACCAAGGAGAAGACGGGATCTTGATCAAGCAAGAAGGCTATGCTCAAGGGATCCTTACCGATAACAAGATGGACTCGTGCAACGCAACACATGTGCTAATGGATTCGAGTATGAAGTTATCAAAAGCAGAGAATGAAACAGAGATCAATGCAACACAGTATAGACGAACGATAGGGTGTCTAAGATACTTATTGCATACAAGGCCTGATCTCGCTTTCGCTGTGGGTGTTCTGAGTCGTTACATGCAAAGTCCGAGGGAGTCACATGGTCAAGCTATCAAGCATATTCTGCGATACATCAAGGGAACTACAAGTATGGGCTTGTTTTTCAAGAAAGATGGAGTGAAGAAGATCGTAGGGTACAGTGATAGAAGCCACAACATCAATGTGGATGAAGGTAAAAGTACCTCAGAACATGTATTCTATTACGGATCATCACCAATCAGCTGGACATCTCAGAAGCAGCCATCAGTGGCGTTATCTTCGTGTGAAGCAAAATTCATGGCGGCTACAGAAGCAGCAAAGCAGGCGATATGGATTAAAGAGTTGTTACACGAGATCCAAAACATTGAAAGGAAGGTCGTGTTGAGGATAGACAACAAATCAGCTATAGCGCTTACCAAGAATCCTGTCTTTCACGGAAGAAGCAAACACATACTTTCAAAGTACCATTTCATTCGTGACTGTGTGGAGAATGATCAGATCGAAGTGGAGCATGTCCCTGGGACAGAACAGAAGGCTGACATTCTCACCAAACCATTAGCAAGGATTAAGTTCAAGGAAATGAGGAGCTTAATTGGAGTACAAGAGATCGAGTTTCTTCCAAAAGTTCAAGTTGGAATTAAGGGGGAGAATGTTGGATAATTCCAGTAACTTCTAGAGGAAGTTATCTTTAGGAGTAGCTAAAGATATATAGAATAAGAAATATCAAGAATGGAAAAGATGTGTTTTCCATTCCTAATAGACTAAGGAGTAGCTTAGGTCTATAAATAAGAGGTTATGGAGAGATGTTCCATAAGACTCAAGAGAGAGAGGTTTAGTTTTGTGAAGTTTCTAAATCAAATAAGAAGAGTAGTTCTTATACTTTCTTGTGTTTGATATACTATATCGACTTGAGTTAGAAGAGAAAGTCAATGTCCCGAAAAAGTGAAGCGGTGTAGCGATATCCCGACCGAATCTGGTGACCGCCGCTTGATCATCATCTTCATCATCATCATCATCATCTGTCTCTGTTTCTCTTCTCATCAGAAACGCCATCGTCATCAGTGTAGGACGAATCTTTTAGAGCAGTCTTGGCTCTGGACGATGAACCCTTCTTGATCTTGGGTTAATCATCTTTCTTATCCATGCTTGCAAGAATGGCTATGCCTGAAAATTTCTCCCTTTGAATCTTTACTGATAGCACCACTCTCGTCTGACTTCTTCTTACCCATTTAACACTGTATCTGACATATAGAATTTACATGTCACGATTAGAAACAAAATTAACGCGAAGAAAATGCATCAATAGCGGTCAAAGAGAGACTGAAAAACCTTCTCTAAGAACTTGCCGAAGAAGGTATTGTTTTGTTTTATTAGAGTTTGTTCCTTGAAACAAAGCATTTATAATAAATGCATACCATCAAGAAAATCCAATTGCTTGGGATCATACCTCATTGCTTTCTTATCGTCATACATTGGTCAACCATTTAGGGGGGGGGGGGGGGGGGGGGGGGGGGGGGGGGGGGGGGTTTGGGAGAGAATTTATTAGATTTTGAGAAGTTTGAGATTCCATCATTATTGGTTTATTGATTTTTAAAATCTTACTAGAATCCATTGCTATTGGTTTAAAGATTTTAAAATTTCATCCAAAATCCTTTGTTATTCAAAAAGTTTGGTTTTTAAAGATTTTATGATTCTATTAAAATTTTGTGTTATTGGGATATGGATTTTAAACAATTTAACTCATTGAATAAGATTTTGGAAGACTTTCAAAATATTACCTATATGGCTTAGATTCTCAAAGTCATTATAATAAAATATTTTCATAGATTTTCTAAATATACAAACTCTTTGCAAATTTAACAAATCTCTCAACTCTTAAAATCAATCAAAATTTTATAATTCCATCTCCCAATAACCCTCTCCCCCTGCTTATACTCAAACTTTCCAGGGACCACCTCATGGTATCCAAGTTGAAAAGTTTACTTCTATTAAAGATATGAGCCTTACGAGGTTCCATAGCGGGTCATGAGCACCAGGCTAAGGGCCTTTCTTGGTTGGACCAACCGGCACCGGCAATTTCCGACGAGTCTTTCAGAATTTGAAGAGCAAGAAGCAAAGCACAGATGAATTGTTCAATGGTCTCTCTTTCCTCCGTGAAAGCCTACTTCGGGGATCTGAAAAGCTTCCCCTCAAATGGGAGCCGTTTAAGTCATCTTAAAAGAGTCCTCGACTGATGCCCTAATTAGGGCTAAGCACTGAAATTTGTCCTAAACCAATTTCAGAATTAATACAATGAATTCAAAAGCATCAAACCCTCCTTAGGTCTTGATCTAGTTATTACTTCTACCTTTCCTATTCTTGTTATGGGAGACTGTCCATATCCTATCTCGGGGCCTCTTTTTTGATTTTTGCAATATTAGCTCATGTTCAAGTAAATTAGTAAAACAAAAAAGATTCAAGTTCATAAACATGAAAATTGTATTGGTTGAGTTAATTCTACTCCTACAAACTTTTTATCGTATAGATCTTAAAATTACCAAGACTATTACGGGCTTCACAAGGGTTTCTTAACAATAAAAATAAAATAAAATAATAAATATTAATATTTTCTTGTCAGAGTCTCTCAAAAAAGTTATGAAAATCTCTTATTTGGGAAACTTTGAGAGACCTTGAAAGAGTTTTTGAAAGACTATTATAATAAAAAAAAAAATTGTTATGCGGTAAGGGATTTTAGACGCCCTCAATATAATAATCCAAGTATAAACAATTGAACATTGGCAGGTTACATTTAATATCGGGTGCTCTTCAAAAAACCTATATCACTTGCAACATAAAAAAAATGCAAACTTATCTCCCAAGGAACATAAATAAAGTAAGAAAAATAAACTTAGGCATCGAAGTAGTTGAACTCACCTTGATGATTTTCCTTCACCAAGAAAATAACACACATACACACAAATAGAGAACCAGAGATTTAACATCGCACATTTGTAAGAAAGGAAACATAAGTTGCGCAAAATGAGTTGTATTTAGATGAGTTTGGATGGAAATAAATCCATATATAAAGCATACGTACATCAGCTCAGGGTTCTCTATAAACAAAACTGAATCTCCATGGAGCAGCTTTAGTACCTATCTCAACCACAATGCCAATGAGTTAGATCGAGTTACTCTAAAGAACCAGTTTGACAAAGAAGAAGAAGCAGAAACATCATGCAAAAACTCGACCCGCTCATGCAACAATGAAAAACTCCGCCCGCTCACCACCTTTTTAAATTACAACACCTTGTGGTTGACTTGTCATCTTTTTGCGGAGGTAGCACCAGTTATTGATAGGATTTAATCTCCAAAGTAGCATCCTCCTCCATCTTTAAGATCAACTTCCGTCACACAGTTCAACAACAGTGCCATACCATTGATTGAGACAGAACCTTTAGCAACGTAATTAAAAGTTTAGAGCGCACCATTTGTTCTATCACTCTGCTTTGGATGATTGAGTAAAAGACGCGGAAGACCGGTCCCATGAGACTTCATTAGCAAACACATTGTTAATATCTTCAATTCTTGAGTATCGTTGTCCACTTCCACTCACCTGTTTACAAAACCAAAACCATTAGGCTACATGGAAATTTCTCTTGAGATATCCATAAACTATATACTAAAGACTAATAGTGAGCTTTCCTCTTGATTCTACATAGATGAATACTTCAAGTTTTCTTGTAATACTTACAGTCTCTAGTAAGCCTGATAGAAGTGACATCCCACACTGCACCCATATGAACGTACCAGTGATTGTGTTTATATGCATAGCATGAGAGAATTAGGGCAGAATAAAGAGTGGAATAAAAGGATTGAAGATTACCACGCTTTCTACTCTCGTTTTGTAAGTATATCCTCCACAGCAGAAAAGTGTAGATGCAACAACGAATCTGATACCAGAACACAATAAGGTGAGGAAATTGTCCTGTTATACGGCCGGCATGGGAAAATCACAAAGCATGTAGCAAGAAAAATATGATTTCAGGAAGATTTTGAGAAAGAGATTTCAGTACATGCAGGAGAAAACTCTGAATTTAGTCCATCCTTTAACGGATAATCTTTATTATTCCCTGAATTAATTTAAGAAAAAAGAGAGATCAATGGAAAGTTTCAGCTCAAGGGTAAGGCCATGTTGATGGTATGAGCTTACCGCAGAGTTTTGTGAGGAAACTCTTATATGGCTAGAGATTCTTCGATTATTTCTCCATACACCTTTGAAAAAAAAAAGGCTACGGTGAGTTTATGGGCTAATAGCACAAAAACTAACAGAAAAATCATCTCGAAATTCAGAGTCAAGTTAAGCTCTTAGAGAATAGGAACAAACCCCACGAAATTATTAAGGTCAAAAAACAATTGCTAGAGAAATACCTTGCAGGTCCATGAGCGAGAGAGCTCTCTTCCCAGATTTGAATGGTGTTATCGCCACTGCACGAAGCAAGAACCGGTGAAATATCGCCGGCGTGAGAGGAGACAGGTTCCAGGCTGCCTTCCAAAGCCGATGGATTCTCCATTAAATCCATCTACTTCCTTCATCACTTAATCGGGCCTATGGACCCAGAAAGTCGACGGAGAAAGGTGGAAGGAGTTAGACATGAAATTACCAAAAATCTATAAATTTAGTGATTCAAAACCAAACCCTAAACAAAAAATTAAAGTTCAAATCAGAAATCAAGCATATAGAGAGATAAAAAAAGAAACACAACAACATCATAAACAAAAACCAAAATAAGAAGAAGAATTTGCCTCACGTAAGAAGAATAAATTTTCTAGTATTGATCTAACTTTTTGAAAAGAAAAAAAAAAGATGTGGCATTCCAGTAGACATGAGCAAAACGCATACCTGAAACAAAGAAATTAAAAATAAGTTAAAGCTCTAAACAAAAGAAATTGACAAAAACAGTTTCAATCGATCAACAGGGCAATGATATGAAAACTATATTTCAAAGAATAACCATTATAACAGTGAGAAAACAAAATTTTGAAACAAAATAAACCTAATATGTAATACTCTAATGCCAAATAAATTTAGGCACAGCTGAAGTATCTATATACTTTACTAATTTAGGGTTTCAGTAAATCACTATTTTTAATATCGTATATCCATAAATAGATATATAATTTTATCTTTCTATATTTAAAAGATTTAAATGTACACCTTTATTTTGTAACTTCAGTAATTAGCCGACTTAAAATGTAATCTATGTATCTTTATCGCATTAACAAATAAAAGAAAGTGATATATATACAATATATGTATCTTTATCGCAAAGGAAAGTAATAAATAAATGATATATGCATCTTTATCGTATTAACTTTTTTCTTTTAATCTAATTAAATTTTTATAGATAGATATAAGATTTAAATTCAGAATATCAAAAAATAAATATAAAAATCTTGAAAGATATCAGAATAGAGTTTTTGGTAAATACGTTAAATTATTTAGATTTTATTTAGATTCGTATAAGATTTTACCAACTACATTAAGGTTATTTCTATTTTGATAATCCTCAAGATCAATGAACCAATTAATATTCCTTTTTTATTACCAATTAAAATAGCAAAAAATAAAGTTGAAAATCTCAGAAAATATTAGAATACATTAGCGATTTCTTCATTAAGGGTACTTAGGTAATATTTAGTGAGATTGAATAAGAGAACTCTATTCCTCATAATCACTTCACAAATAAAGGTTTAGATTTTCTTTTATATAAAAAAATTTAAAACATAAACTGTTGTTTTTCCTATTTTTATTTTATAAAATTATAAATCTTATTAAGTAAAATCATAGTAATGACACCTAATGAATTATCCAACTTCGAAGTGCATACGTTTGATTTAGAGAATAATTTCCTTACTAAATTTTTGGGGTTTTGTTTTGTATCCTTAGGATTTCTATAGTTCTTTTTTAAGGTTTATATGTTTAAATATTTAGTTTTTTATTAAATATCTCACTTATGTCTTGTAACTATATAATATATGATTAATGTTGATTCATATTTACTTTTGTTAGGATGCTATAATAATTGTGTAAATCTACTTCTTGCTTCTCCACCAGATCTTCTATGAAATTTATGTTATATCTCTATTCAGTTTATAAGATCTGTTTATTTGCAGTTAACTATTTAAGATTTTTTTTTGTTTTTAAACATGTAAGATGGAGTGTGAGTATTCACATTTTTTATCATTGTTTTGATCTTTTGTGTGTTTTATTCATGTTTTGGTTTGAATAGTTTATCAAGATATATTCTAATTTGAATTTGATTTATAACTTTGTCATACATTATTATTTAAATAGAATTTTAGAAAGTGTTACTCATGTGCTGTTCATGTTGGCTAAGTGATAAGTAGTAACTATATATAAAAATCAGATTTTATTACTTGTTATACATCGAATGTAAAGTTACTTGTGTATTATTTTTCTTTGTTACTTTTTAAAACCATATGCAGCCAAAATATTAGTCTTTGTAAATTTAAATAATATGTTTGATTTATAAACTTGTATGACCTACTGTAATTTTATATGGTTATCCATAGTCAATACCAATATTTTAGAAATTATAAATTTTCTGGAACTAAATTTTAAACTAATTTTCTTTTTAGATTTTTTTTTTTGTTGTTTTACAAATATTTTGATGGTAATTTTATTTTTTATTTAATTTATATAATTTTGTGCATGTTTGATATACTTAAAACATATATTTGTTTTGAATTAAGCTATTTTGCTATCGATTTTTCAAATAGGTGGCATATATATCAATTGAATCTCTTTTACATAATTTTTTTTCGTTAAATTTATTTTTTATATTAGTTTTATTTTAATTGTAATGCTATTTTGACATGCTATAACTGGTTATTCTAAATTTTATGTGGAGTTTTCTCAAAAGCTTATACCATCATTGTTTTTTTAGTTAATTGTTTTATGTTGATTTTCTAGAACATTAGCCTTAATATCAAGCTAAATTTATTTTATACGATCATTTATCTCTCTAAATATTGATTTCTATTTTATTTTAACACATAATTGTTTTGAAAATATGGATTTTTTTGAAGACATAATTTTATTTTTTGTTATTTTGTTAGGTAAAATTTTTTATATTGATTTCTTAAGTAGTTTTGTTTTTGGTAATCTTGATTTATTAAGTAGTTAGTCAGATATCAAGTCAATTTCTTTTTAGATGAAATTTTAAAAGTTAAAATTTTGAAAAAGTCAGTTTTTGTTTTATTTCTTATTAGTTAACTTCTTAATACTGATTTTTAAATAATTAACTTAAATATTTATCTTCTTTTAGTTAGTTAAGTTTTTAGTATGACATAAGTTTTTTTATTCTCTTACTAATTTTGGTTTATATTGATTTTGTTAAATCAATAGCATAGATATCAAGTTAATTTTGTTTTTCTTTGCTAATTTAATTTTTTCAATATGAATTTTTATTTTAATTGTATTGATATGTTATAAGAAATAATTTCTGTTTTATTTTCTGTTAGTTAAATGCTTTTATATTGCTTTTTCAGTAACTAGTATAAGATATCATTTTTTTGGTTAGTTAACCTTTTTGTGTTAATTTTCTAAATAATTAGGCTAAATATCAAGTTTTTGATGATTTTTTATTTGTTAATTTAACATGAATATTATTTTTTGTAGTATTGATAGTTTAAATAAAATATTTATATGTTTATATAAGAATTTAACTTTAAATTTGTTTTTCTAAATGAATTACTCATTTAAAATATACATGGTAAATTTTGTCTTTTGTTTTAATTTTTTGTTGTTGTTGATTTACATATTTATTTATTTTTAGTTTAGCTTTTGTGACAATAACTTTTCATTTTATTTTGACAAACGATATAAATTTGGATTTTGACATAATTTTATTTTATATGTTTTGTTAGTTAAACTTTTTTATCTTAAATATCTATTATACTATGATAATTTTATCTTAACTTTTTTATAATCTATGTTTTGTGTGTTTAAATTTATTTAAATTATTAATCTTACTTAAAAAATTTATGTTTAATGAAAAACACTGATGTTGACCAATTAGATTGAGTGTCTGGCCTAGAACATCAATATAGAACACAACTAAAATATTTTAAGTTAGCAGTTTAAGGCTGTGATTGGTATACTTTGTGGAATAGTGGAATGGGGGGGGGGGGGGGGGGGGGGGGTTGTCAATCAATCAAAACAATTTGCGTAAAAACGTCAAAACTCGAGTTCTGCGGAATGGCGGAAATACTTACAAAAAATACAAAAAAAATCTGATAAAGTAGAAAAGTGTGTTTCAAGTAGAAAAGTGGAATCAATATTTTATATCATTCAATTATATATTTATTAATTATTATAAAAAAATAATTTTGTATATTTTCTGTCATTCCGCCATTCCGCAGCTTAATTTTTTCGTAATTCCACGGTTTTATTGTGTTACCAATCGGAGCCTAAATTTTAATTGTTTTTCATGATTAAAATTTTAAAATAGTTTAATTGTGGTTTTAAATATTTTTTTGATTATTTTGTTCATTTTATATGATTTTTTTTTTAAATAATATATTTATATGTTAATTTTCTTTTAATTGTTAATAAAAAAAAACAAGATCTACTTTCTAAATTCTTTCTTATTAATAACTAACGGCGAGTCGTCGTTCTGGGTTGGAAGCTTCTTGTCCCGGGGCGATGGGGTGAACGCAGTGCTCAATCCTGTCAACACTTAAACAAAGGTCATGCGAGCCTCCGGGAGGACCGAAAGGGGGTTTCCCTCCCGAAGGTTCTCCGACGCTCAAGTCAATGATCACCAAGGAAGGCGGGGTGAGTAGGAAGGCAGGGTTCCGGGTTAGGAGTGACTTAACCTGGTCGGCATTCACCCGAGAGGACCATGCAGTTCGCGCGTGATCGTGCTGCTTGTCTGGATCGACCTACCTTGACATGAGCAGATACCGCCTCTTTCAGAGAGATTCTTTTTCCCCTCCTCCTTTGATCCCTCGATCCCCTCTCCCCTCTTCTTTACTTATACTCGCGGGCTTTTCATCTTGTCCCTTCCACACAGCGTGCCAGGGGAGCAGGTGAGGATAATGATTCTGGCATGTTTGGAAAAGCCTGCTAACTGCCCCGGAACACTACGCGGGAGTGGGTTGGCCGAGCTGGCATGGCGTGTGTCAGCGTCTGGTGCAGTCTAGGTCCACGTGTCGAGTGCTCTTTCGACCGGGTAAAATGGATCCCAACAGTTACCTCCGACTTCTCGGCTGATATGAGGATGAGTCGGCAAGTCGAATTATCATTGGCTCCATGTAAAGCGAGCATGGTTTGTCTGATTCCCTAATTTTTTGCCGCTTAAGGGCTGGGTTGACGCGGCGACCGTGCCACGTATCGCAAGGGATACGGTACTATTCTGGGCGAAATTAAATTCTAAATTATAGCAAAAGTTTGGGAACTCATCAAAGCCATGTTACGCATCCTGGAGGGGGTACCGTACTGGCTAGATGGTCCGGACTTCCAAAAAAGTTGAATGGGGTATCGACTTCGACCTCGGTGCGTTCCATGATGAAGGACGTCCTTAGTCGAAGGAGTAGTCCGAAGTGGACTCTCCACCCGACCTTATTCGTTTGTTCCGGAGGAGCACGTTATTGGTCGAGGGAATTTTACTTCAGAGGAAGCGAGCCGCGAGGCAGCTCTTATTAAATGTCAACTCCGATCTTATTCGCATCCGAGGGTGTACGTTATTGATCAAAAGAATAACGGAAAAACGAACCGTGAGACGGTCAGACTAGATACATATAGAAGGACTCGCCAAGTCTACGTTACACATCCGGCGGACCATTCGGCCTGGGGAGTTAAAATGATGGGGTCCTACCCTGACTGGGGTGTGCATCCGGGAGAGTGCGACGCTTGCTCAGGGTAGGTGGATAGGCGTTCCTGGGGGGAACTGATAGCTTGGCCACTAGTGAACATCTCCTCGGAGGGATTTTACTTCTCATTATGTGAGGCACTAGACGAGAAGTCGTCTTGCCCCCGCTCATCGG